CATATTATTCAAATCATCATCATCAATTAATGTTGCTCGTCTATTTATAGCCAATGAATATTTACCAATTTTTGTTAGTACAGGCGAAAAGATCCTTAATGCATCTAGATTTGGTACATTATAAAATGGATATTTACCAATGTGATCAATTGGTTGTGATGTTTGTTTATAATGAGCACCAAACCAGATATATCGAAGTTCAGTATGATTGAATGCGTTATCTGGAATTGATTTTAGTTTATCATTTTCCATACTAAGAAGTCTTAAATTCTTAAATTCATTTATTATTGTAAATAATGTTTTACTATCTGATAAACTTGTATTTAAAGTTCTAAATACTTCAACATAATTTCTTGTATTATTAAATGCATTAATATCAATTGACTTTAATAATGTATTATGATATAATATAATATAAGAAAAGGTAATATTTCCAAAAACATTTTCTGGTAGATGATTAATCTCTGTATTATGTAAAAGAAAATCATTAAAATTCGTAAGATTATATGATTGATTATTTGTTGCTAATATGGTACTAAGTTTAATAAAAATAGAACGTAAATCTATGGATGAATTTTTAATATTTTCACATACAATTGATTTTTGACGAATTGGAATCATGTCTGTTAGGGTTGGATAGAGTACCATTTCATTATTTTTTGATGAATTGTTCTCAATACATAAACATGGTTTTATTAAGACATTAGATGGACATTGACTATGAACAAATATAAAATATTGAATAATAATAAATAATATAATCGAAAATATACGTGTTTGAAACATATTCAAAAGTCTTTGTTGTTGAAAATAAAAATAGTAAAAACAGAAAAAAAAGCGACGTAATATATCAATAAGGATTTATGTAAAGATTACAGATAAATAAATACTTTAATAACATAATGTTGAATAGAAGATACAAGCAAATAGTGAAATGTAACTGATACTCTGATATTATATATATTTTGAAAGGATTAATAATTAAGCTAGTGGTTAAAACAATTGATTTTATTCATGATCGATATATTTTGAGATATACATAAACGAATTTATATTAAAGTAAAATTTAAACACATTCAATCATTGCATGCAATGTTCGGCGAACTAGATACTTTTGTACTATCTTTTAATTTATTAATTGAGTCTTTAATAGTTAAAGTTTTTCCTTCGTATATTTTGAAGAGCGAGAATACTAGAAGAAATGATTTTAACGTTTATTTAAGCACATGAAATCAGCTGCATGAGTCAATTAAATAACATTTGACGCCAACAAAATAAAAGACGATTTTCACTTATTCCTCTTGTATTTAGATCAACTTCATACGTTAAGTATTTGCTTTCATAGATGTACTAATCCTTTTGGATGACATGAGAAGACTTTTTTAATCGATAAATATTTATTTTGCTTTCCTTCAATGAGCAAAAAAAGTTGGCAATGCTTTGTACTATTATGAATAGGATAGGTTTTGGGTGTGGGTGTGGGTATCGATATATTTTTCCTTTGCCAAACAACCACACCCACACCCCTTCCTGAGAAAAAAATCAAGAAGTAATAAAATAACTTATTGCTTCCCCTAAGAAACTCATCTTGTGTCACCAATGCTCGCATGTATTCAATTTACGTTTATTGAAACGGTCGCATTTTGCTAGCTGAAAATAGATACCCATCTATCGTACATGTGACATGCATAGATATGTCTTATCTTTTCAACTCTGTGTGTGCGCTCTGTCATTTTTTTGTGTTCTCGATTTACATCCATCATCGCCAAAGATGCAGAATCTTATCATCTACAATGGTAAGTGAAGAAGTGAGGTGACTGACAAACGTTCATAGTGATCTATCCTTATGCATTTTAGTGACCATCTTATTCTTCTGCCTTGTGTTTTCGGTATCGGTGAAAATAAGCCCTTGTGCAAAATGGAATACCAATGGAGTCACAATAGCCGGTAGCGGTATTGCTGGAAATTTTTCAACTCAGCTCGCACTGCCCCATGGAATTTTCATTGACAAAAAAACTAACACCTTGTACGTAGCTGATTTCGGCAATAAGCGCGTTCAACAGTTTCCGCTTAATCGACCATCGACTGGTGGTATCACTGCTGTATCCAACGTGGTCGATCCAAACAGGATCTATGTTGATGATGATGATGATGATGATGATACGGGACCGACAATCTACATTGCTGTTTTTATTGGTAATCGAGTCGAAAAATGGACCAAAGGAGCAACACGCGGAGTCCAAATCGGTGATGAATGTCGCTCGTGTTCGGGAGTGTCGGTTGACAGAGAGAAAAATGTCTACATGTCAGAGTCCGATAGACATCGTGTGCTTAAATGGTCGCCTCGCACGAACACAACAATAATCGTTGCTGGAAAAACCGATGACAGGGGATCATCGAGCGAACAGCTAAGTGATCCCGAGGCGATTTATATCGATCAAACCAGTGGCACATTGTATGTGGCCGACTCTCGAAATAATCGCGTTCAAAAATGGACGAAAGATTCGCGAGAGGGTGTCACTGTAGCTGGATCGAAAACGGATAGCCCAGGAACAGATGATGGATCGTTGGATGATCCGGGCGGTGTATGGGTGGACGAAGAAACGAACATTGTGTATGTAGCGGATACATTGAACAACAGAGTGGTAAGATGGCTACCCGATTCATCGAAAGGTGATACGATTGCTGGTGGATTCGGTATGTACGTGATAATTCAGATTTCAGAATTAGATGTGAATACAAGAAGGAAAAAGTTGAGTGTGAGATTTTAAAGATTTTAACAAGCGGAAATCCAGCTTTCTCTCTTGCGTGAATAAGTATTGAATCGAACAGTCAGAAGAGCCATTTTTTCAATGGTTTCCCATCACAATCAATCAATAATCTGATTATTTACTAAAATGTTGTTACCGTGGGGATCGTCTCGCGCTGTTCCCATACCCCAATCACTTCTCTATGAACATCCCAGAAGGCAAATAGCATCTATAACATTCTTTCTTATCGTATCGACATCTCGCCAAAGTTGAGACTCGAGATAAAACTGTATTCAAATTCTCACAAAAGTAACTCGATGCTTTAGAATGATATCTATCTTATGTTGATAGAGACTAGATGTATCTTGTCAGAATAACATTTGAAAACAGGTTCAGGCAATGCAACGAATCAATTTAACACACCGAACGATTTGACATTTGATAGTGAAGGCAATCTTTACGTCTGCGACAATTGGAATCATCGTGTACAAATGTTTCATATCATTGATAATCGACCATGTACCCCAACATCGACAGGTAGTAGTATAGAGTAAATGTTTAATTTAAGACTTTGAAGCCTCTTTCTCTTCTATTCACAAACAAATACGTAGAAAAAAACGTGGTCAATATATAATTAAGATGTGCTATGTATAAATGGTTTCTAAATCGTTTTCTGAATTATTGAAATATGTGGTAAAAAAATTGCCTTAATCTCTCCTCTCACAGACCATAGTGATATGACGAAAATGCTGCTCCCAAATAGTGATGAGATAATGAAAAGAATCAATTTCTCCGGAAAACAATTCGACTGAGTAGAAGACAAGTTCAGATGTCTGACAAAAAATTCATCACAGAGGGCAATCACGTGAAAAATATGAAGAGAATTTCGATAGCATCTAATATAGAATTTAAACTGTATGATCAATATTTGATACTTAGACAAGTAGTATCTTACACTGTTTATAGAGTGATATAATCTGGCGAACATTTTTCAGCATTTTAATGTTTGTTTGCTATCCTGTATGCTTTTATCTGCCTACCATTCCTTACTTTACTAGATCAAACCGAAGTTCAGACATGTCAAGGTACCCTTCAATACGGTCAATGTTCAGGAAACATGGCATGTGGCTGCCTTCCTCTAATGAATACTGACAACGGTGGCATCTGTGCTTTGCTTCAAGTTACATGTTCTACACTGACCTCATGTGCCAACAATAATCGAACATGCTACCAGCCTGGTCATCTGTGTGTGAAGCACCCAAAATGTCAGAATGCTCCACTTTGTTATCCAGCGGATACGACACTTCAAGTTTTGTGTCCATCGATACTACCAGCGACAACGAGTAAGAAAAAAGGAAACGAAGAATTTCTTATGTTTGTTTTTTCATCATTCAGCTCCATCGCCAGTGGTGCCCGACGATGGCATTTGTACGAATGCTACATGGAACCCAAATGGAGTCACTGTAGCTGGAGGAAATGGCGAGGAATCATACAGACTGTACGTCCTATATCTAGAAAATCTCTACGGTCTGTCTTTTCATCCGGTGTGCAAATCATTTCATCTGAGACAATCGAAAGATATTTTATTTTAGAATAGACCAAGTTAAAAATGAACAAAATTCAAATATTGTCGTACAGTAGATTCAATTTCCATTAAAATTTTCTCGGGGTGGGTTGCAAAATATGTTTGCTGCCATTGGAAGTCCTTTCTGCATTGCTTCTAGGGTTCGGCTTTGAACCAACTACGCTATCCTTGGGGATTCTTTGTGGATGATGATGCTGTCGTTTATGTTGCGGACACTTGGAATTTCAGAGTGGTCAAATGGGCGTCTGGAGCATTCAGTGGTCAAGTGATGGCCGGCGGAAACGGGCAAGGCAATCAGGATAACCAGCTAAAATATGCTGCATCTATCATATATGATGTTGCACTAAGTTTACATAGCTGCAATCATAATGAATAAGACGAATGGTAGAACATGATTTTTGAACTGTGCTCTGACAAAACTTGCTGTCGACAAGAACGGAACCATATTTCTTTGTGATCGTGATAACAAGCGAATTCAGCGGTGGTTTAAAAATGACAATCATGGGCAAACAATTATTGCAAATATCTCATGTTGGGGTCTGGCGATGGATAACAAAGAAACGTTGTATATCTCTGATCTTGAGAAGCATTGTGTAACGAAATGGCCTGGTGATCAGATAGTTGCTGGTGGAAACGGACAAGGACATGCACTTAATCAACTCAGCGAACCTGCCGATGTATTCGTCGATCATGATAGGTCAGTTTTCGTGGCCGATTATGCGAATGATCGTGTCATGAAATGGCCAGTCAACGCCAAAGAAGGCATTGTTGTAGCTGGTGGTAACGGACAGGGGGATAGTGTCAATCAATTGGATGGAATGAAATATTCAAGAATGATGTTATCTCCTAGAATAGCTACTCGTCAATTTGACGAATAAAGCGAAATTCGTGGACTTTGAAAAACTCGTCCCCGTTCGGTTGTCATTGACCACATGGGTACCGTCTATGTTGCTGACAGTATAAATCATCGCATCATGCGTTGGCCCAAAGGCTCAAAAGCCGGTAATGTCATTATAGGTGGACAAGGTATAGGCGGTGGAATAGCTCAA